TTGTGGCCATGAAACCCACCTCCCAGGGCTTACAAAGGCTCTACTACATCTATAAGTTTGTTCCCCAAGCTCAAGATAAAAGACAGTATAAGCTGGGTACTGCGTGGGGGTTGGGGTTGGGGGGAACAGGCACCACCCAAGACAGATTCCTCAGCATGCAGTTAATAGCTTGCGAACTTTATCTAGCCCCAGATGCCCACTGTCAGGTCCATACTGCTGTCAACTGAGCTCAAACTTTCTATGAAGAGCTCTTATCTATACCCAAGTAACCATCAGGTACACACAGACACAGCCTAGGGTGTTGCCCAATACTCAGGGTTTACCCAAAGGCACAGTGTAGGCCGCAGCCCAGCTAAAACAACCACTCCATGCAAAATGCTCACAGCCAGGAGTGTCCAAGTAAGATTTACAAACTCCAGCGAAGGCCTCACTGGATTCAGCCAGCCCCTCTGTGGGCAGGTCTTCTTGGTGGTAGTAGACATCTGACAACTCTACAGTGTATTCACACCATATACATAAACAGATGTGAGCATGAGAGCACGCAGGTGAGTGCGTGTGCATGCATGAGTGCACATACACACACTCAAAAGATGAGGCAATGATATATACTATAGAGGCTTAGGAGGAAAAGCTAAGCAGGACTGTAAGAAAAGTACCAAGCCCCCACTCCCTCAACACACACAGAACAGGCACTCCATAAAAGTCAACCCTAACTCTCATCAACAGCGAACTCTCCCCCGGCACTTTCATTACAAAGCACTTTTGTGCCATCTCTTATGAAATTAATATGCAAATGACAGAATGTGGGCAGAAAGAACAGGTATGGTGATATCTGCTCTACAGATGGGGACACGTGGAGTTAGAAGTGAGTCACAGTAAATCAGTGGCAGAGCCGAGCTTCAGAATGAGGCTCTGTCTGATCCAATGCGGTTTCTAACCTGCTGTTCCTAAGTATGGGCGCTAGGTTAAATAGAACACAACTAAAGCGTACACTGAAGAGATGGTGAAAGGACCAAACCCAAGAGGAGCAGAGTAAGGATTAGGATCAAGAGTTTAGTCACACATGGTGGCTCGAGTCTGTCATTTCAGCATTTTGGAAGTTGAGACAGGAGAATTGCTAAGAGTTCAAGGACAGGCTAGGCTACTGAGTGAGGATCAGTCTCAAAACAAAAACAACAGCCTTCCATTATTGATACAGAGAGCTGAGCTAGCCTTGTTAGTCCAGGGCAGCTGGAGCCGATAAGTCACCAACGAGGAGAAACTGCCGACCGAGAACTCAAGCTCATGGGAACTCAAGCTCCCCTGTGCTTCTTGGACTTGTGTGCATCTCACACTGAGGGAGTTCTCCACCTGGCCAATGCCTCTGCATCACTCTAGGACCAGGACAGTGGGGTTGGCAGCACCCTTTCCTCCATTCTACCCTGCCCCTTACACACACACACACACACTCTGAAGCGGTCTCAACAGAGATTCCCGAGGGACATCAGATTCACACAGCCTGAGAGAGCTACTCAAAGGTGAGACCTTTGTGTTTGTAAGAATTATAACCAATCTGATTTGTTTTTATCTGATAACGAAAATAAATTAGAACTAAACAGAAAAGCTGCCACGCTTGGGCACACCAGTCACTCTGGCTACCAGAGACTGAGAAGGAAAAGAGAAGCTCAGAATTGAAAACACCAGGCACTGGGACACAGTGCTCTTCAGAGCCACCAAGAACTGGGAGACTACTTGACCTAGTGCCACTGGAGGAGGAGGGCCCAGCATCAGGAGGGAATAAATACACCTAGCATCTTATTGTTGAGGAGAACAGAAAGGAGATGAGGGTTTCAGGATCCTGCTCAAAGTAAGACTATTTTGTAAAAGTGGGGCACTTCTGGTGGTGCACACCTTTAGGCCCAGCCCTGAAAGTTAGAGGGAGGTGGATCTCTTTGAGTTTGAACCCAGCCTGGTCTACATATTGAGTTCCAGGGCAGCCAGGGCTGCCACACAGAAGCCCTGTCTCAAAAAAAAAAAAAAAAACCTTTATAAGGGGGTGATTTTTAACTCACAGAAAAAAAGTGTGGCTACAACGATTCATTCTCAAAGGACTTCAGGAATCAAAAATTTTGGTGCAGCGAGGGGGGAGGGGGGATATAGAAAGTACTGAAAAAAAAAAAAAAAAACCTCAAGCTTTCCCATCATTCTTTCCAGTCCCTTCTCTCTACCAATGTGTATTAATGAGGTTTTATTGGGGCCCATCAAGAGCCACAGGTAGGTTACAACCAGCTCCACCCTCCCCAGAGAGCTGAAGCCAGCAGTGACATCATGCGAGCCCAGGCCTCCACTCCCTCCCATTCTGCCAGACCTCAGGGGAACTGTCTCTACTAGTCCAAATGATTACGTTAAGGGAGAGAGAAAAAAAAGGGAACAAATAGCAAGCCACTATTGCAGAGCAAATAACCATTTCTCCTATTCTATATAGGAAAAACAAAAGACCAGGGGACACACACACTGAGGGACACTTTAGACAAACCTGTTTCAGTCTCTGGGGAGTAGTTGCTAGCAGCCTCCCCTTGCCCATTCAAAGGCAGGCACCCAACGACACTCCCTATCTCTCTGGTCCCCAGAGCTGTTCTGACCTGCTTCCCACAGGAGCTTAGGGAGCCCTGAGAAGGGGGCCAGCTCTCTGGTAACTTGTGGGAATGTGCTCCCATTTTAAGTAAATCCCAGCTGCCTTCATTTTTCAGGAAAAGGGGAAGCTCTGAATATGTTCTCACTCTTATGCACCCACTTTTAACCAAATGTGGGTTTTTTGTTTGTTTGTTTTTGCTGGAAGAGAGAAAACAAACCAAATTTAATAAAGAATACAGCAAAAAAAATGAACACTCTTGCCTCCTAAGTGGGAGTCTGGTCCCAAAGCCCAGGCAGTGACCTGGCTCATCTCAACTTCCTCTAGGAAGTCTTTCCAGGACTGTAGGTCCCTACCACTGAGACAACTCTACTTCCTAGACCTTGGGTCTCCCTAGAGGGTCCAACCTCCCAGGCCAGCACACAGGAAGTTCCCGGAAACACAGTCCATAAAGAATCACCACCTCCAGTTAGCTACTCAGTATTATTAATGAGTGCTTGAGGAGCCTAGGTCACAGGAATATCTGCCTCTCTAAAGATACCAGGAAAGAGCTCACCATCTCTCCAGATCCTGCCTGGAAAGAAATTCAGTCCTGCATCTGTTCTGCCCCAGTGAGGCCTCGTGTTGGGCCTGGAGAATAGAGCGGAGGTAATGCCAGGCAGGCCAGGGAGCCGTGCCAAGTGGCTCCACTTTCTTCTCCACAGTGGTAACTGTGATTCCAAGCATAATCTGAGTCCCACAGAAACCACAACCCTCAAGAACTATTTCTTAAACCTTAAAGCCAGGAGTGCACCAGAGTCTCACTTCGGAATTCATATCCCCGTCCCCACACAACCCCAACTCATGGGTAATGCCAGTATGGAGGTCCTCTCTTGAGCTCCAGAGTGATGGAGAGCACAAGCCACCTGGGAAGGAGCGACGGCAATGCCCATTAGCAGTGACTGGGGACATGTCCAGGTGCCACTTTATTTGTACACGACCTCGGTATCTACCGGCGCTCAACTCTCCTTCCCTGTGCACGTGTCTGCCTTGGCCAGGACTATCGAAGTTAAGCAGACCAGATGTGGCGGTGGGAGACTGCCACTTCCGGAAGGGATAAAGCCTGAGGCTCCGCACCTCGCCTCTGCCTCCCAGGGGTTGGGCAAAGCCGCCAGTGGAAAGGACCCCCGGGACTTCACAGCGGGTGCGGGGGCTAGGGGCGTGGACACCCGGAGGGCAGCGCTGACACCTGGCGGCGACCCAGGACCCGGCCCACGTCAAGGACCGGCGCTGCGGGGCGGTTCCCAGGGAAGGGTTACAGGGGCCGAGAACAAAGCGCCCCCGTTGGGGAAGGCGGGCTAGCGGACGGCGGCTGGGGCGGGAGAGCACTTTCTGGGGTACCCTCGACAAGCTCTTTGTCGGTCAAGTCGCTGATTAGAGAGACCGACCCCAGCCAAAGGTGGATGGCTGCATCCTACCCAGAAGCCTCCCCCCACCAGTCGCCACCTCCACGTTCGTCCCTCTTTCCCCGCGGCCCTACTGGGCGGGCCAAGGGACCCGCCTTCCCTACGCGCGGCTTCAGCACAAAGCCGAGTCGGGGGAGGGGAAGAGCCGTACCGGGGTCCACTCGCGGGGAGGGTCCCCCGCGCGGGCCATGCGGAGGAGGCCCTCCGGGGGGCAGCACAACTTCAGTGACCCCAAAGTTGGGTTCTTAGGGTATTTAGCGTTGTGAAGCCAACTTCCCGGAACCTTCGGCTGCCAGCTCGGCCCGGCTCACCTGGGACAGCCAGAGAAAAACCCATGGTCCCCGAGCCACCCTCTCGTGTCCCACGAGCAACCTTAATCCTGGCTCTCCGGCTACCCCGCACGTCAGCCCCCTCCCGTTCCCGCGCCGGCTCCGCTGCGCCCAAACTTGCCCCGGTGGAAAGGAACGGGCGTCCGGGCTCCGCGGCGCTGGGGGTGCAGCCTACAGTCTGGTTTGAATTAGGGTCTATGGAAAAGGCGTTGTGGCCATGGCCACTGCATCCCTCCGGGACACTGGCGGAGGCCAGGCCGTTGAGATGGCCAGCAAGACAGCAACGGGAGAGAGCAACTCCAGGCGCCGCCTAAGGCCGGCGGACTCAGACCCATGTGGAGTCGTTTTACTTAATTGAGAGCGGGGAACCAATGGAGGTTCCACTCTGCGGGACGCCTGGACCACGAGTTGTGGGACCCTCGTGGCACCCACGGACCGTGGAGGAATTGGGACAGGAGTCCTCATTTAAGGGATCACCATCCCTGGATCCGCCAGGCAGCGCGGGAAGAAGTCCCCGCTCCCCTCCCCCTCCACGTGCTGCCGCCTGCATGGCATCGGCTAGTGGCGAGTCCCGGCTTCCCGCCGCCTTCCAGCCCTGCCCCGGGCCACACTCACCGGGAGGGCAGGCTGCAGGCGCAGCGCCAGCGCGCAGAGCCAGAGCCAGAGCGCCGCACGTCTCATGCTGCCCGGACCGGCGGCGGGAGCTCGGCGGGCTACGTGGGTCGAAGTTGCCGGTTGCACGGAGCTCCGGGCCGGCTCTGCTGATTGCTCTGCGCTTTGCTGTCCCGGACTCCTGCCCTGCGCGCTGCTGTCCCGAGCGAGGGCTGCAGGTTCCGCCGGCTGGAGTCTGCTCCCGACTGCCAGATTCCTTCCTCTGCGCCAGGCTCTGTCTCCTCTGGCCCGCACCTCTCCCGCCGAGCTCCGCCTTATAATAAACCCACAGGCTCTTTGCCGTTGCAAAACTAGCCGCCCACCCCCAGCTCCGCGGGCCTGGGAGTCCCAATCCCCACCCCTCGGGTCCCGCCCTCTGGGGTGCCCCGCCCCTTGGAGCGCCCCACCCCCGGGATCCAGCCACACCCCCTTCCACGCCTCCTAGGATCGAAGCCCACCCCACTCTTCAGCTCCTGCAGGTCTGAGCCCCACCTTCCACCCTTGAGCACTGGTGCGGGCTCTCTGTGATTCCCTCGTCGCACCCTCCTTGGTGCGTGGCTGATGGAGACCCAGGTGTACTCGCTACTAGGTCCTGGTCCTGAGTCAGGAGGCACTGCCCTGGAGAAGAGCGATTGTTCGTTCTCTACATGCGAGGCTGCAGCGCCCTCTGGGCGAGGACACCCGGGGTCCTCCAGGTGAACGAGATTTGGGGGGCCACCTCGGAGCCCCACAGCGATGAGGCTATATATAAACCGAGGAACAGATGTATGGTTCCCACCTCCCCACGGGCTGAGGATAGGGGACCCCTGGAGTCTTGGAACACTAATCCTTACCTACAAATTGCTGGGAACTTCAGACCTTTAAAGACATGAGCACTGTCTAGAAGAGATGGCTTTGTTATTGTTGTTTTTTTTTTTCTTTTTAATTTTTGCTGTCTTTATAAGAGACAAAGCCTTCTCTCTTCCTTGTCCAAGACGAAAGGAAAAAAATAATGGCCTCTTTGTTTCCAGGTGACCTCAGGCATAACCATCTGAGGAGCTCCATTTGAGTTCCTGTTCCCTAATGATTCTCTATAGGGCCTGGACCTCACGGTTTCCAACGCCCTTCAAACATGTCAGTCCAAAAGGGAGCGCAGAGAGCTGCAGGCGTGGCAAACATGAGCGAGAGCCAAGGGAAGAACCAGCCCCGTCTTGCCCTCAATCTGTAGATGGTGCCAAAGGACCTTTGCACCTGCAAGGCAGAGGCCAAACACAGCGTCCGTCCTGGATCGTGAGTCCCGCATCAATCAGCCTGGACTGAGAAGCTAGATCTGAGTCTCAGCCTCTCAGGAAGTCGCCAGTGTAGACTCTGTACTATGGAGCCTGCCTTCTGGGAATTCAACAGCCTCCTTTACACACACACCCCCACTCTGACACCACGCCTCCATAAGCAGCCCAACAACCAGCACCCCGTTGTGTTTGAACAATTTTGTCATCAAGAAACTCTCCCTTTTGGCGTTTCAGCTACCCTAGGTCTATCTATGGGCTCCATACAGATCCTGCCCAGTTCTTGCCTGGATCCTGGAGGGTCTTGGGAAGGAGCACCCAATAGCAAGGCTCAGGGAGGCTTAGGACCTAAAAAACAGGTGCCTCCTACAGAGTGGCTTCAGGGTCTGAAGTCAGCTCTTCAGTCCTTTCAGCCTGATATATGGAAGAAAAATAGGACACTTTGGTATTTTGCCTTCCTGTTCTCTCAAAATAGGAGAAGAAGAAAAAAAAAACGGGAACAGGAAGGGACTGATGGGGGTGTTTCATGTTTTAAACATGACCAGTTTGATGTTTCCTTCCAACTGCATATGTTTAGCCCAGATCAATGAGGCTGTTAAGGGGCACACAAGAGGACTCCTATAAGGAGACCCCAAGAAAGGCACATAAACAAAGAAAGGAGGTGAGAGTCCTGTTGATCTTAGAGCTCAGGCACCCTACATGGCTTGAGATTCCTCCCTGCCTTCAATATCCAGGAGGTTGGAGAGATGGCCCAGTGGTTACGAGCACTGGTTAGTCTTACAGAGGATCAGGATTCAATTGCCAGCACCCATGTGGCAGCTTACAACTAACTGTAACTCCAGTTCCAGGGGGTACAACATCCTCAAACAGACAGACAGACATGTAGGCGAAGCACCAATTGACAAAACATTAAGAATAGATTCCTAATTTAAAAAAGAGAGAGAGGAAGAGCCTTCGTTCCAGCACCCCTTACATCTAAGGGCTGATGCCTCCTGGTTCCTTCTCCAGCCAATACACACTCTTGTGATAGATTACCCCTGCCTGGAGACTGGGAGCCCTGGTCACTAGGAAATTAATACCTGTCTCAAAAGGAAGCCTCTAGCCTTCCTGGTAAGGAGCCTTAGGCAAGAACATCTTGGTCTGTGTTCTAACCACAGGTTATTAAATATTTTCCTTTTCAGCTTTGTTGAATTCCTAAGTCTGCTTTAAAACAACAACAACAAAACAACAACAACAACCCGCACTAAATTCCCCTAAGGACAAACCCAATCCCCTATGGGTGATTTTCTTATTCTTCCTACAAACACATAGGACTTCCCTCTGGGAAGAACTGCCCACCCTTGGTTGAGATGGCAGCTGGTGGAGAGTAAGTAGGAAGTTTAGCATCTGACCGCAGGGCTGCATCCAGCAGACATATGAACTGGAACAGACTGGCTCTGCAGAGGCTGACAGTATCCGTCAAGCTGAAAAAGCATCAGCCCTCTCACCCGGGAAGACTTCTCCAGGTCGTTGGTCTTCCCAAGTCTCTCTCCTGTGCCCAAAAGGCATGCCTAATGCCTGCCACTGAAGGAAAACCAAAGTAGCTATGAGTGGTCCAGGGTATTGTTTCTGAAATAAAGACAGTTAACTCCTAACATGGAAAGCTTTTTCAAAACCTACTTTGAGCATTCAGTGGGGGTGTATGCCTTTAATCCCAGCCCTTGGGAGGCAGAGACTGGCAGAGCTCTAAATTCAAGGCCAACCTGGTCTACAGAGCTAGTTCCTGGACAGCCAGAGCTACACAGACAAAAAAACCTGTCTTCAAAAACCAGAAACAGATGGCTCAGTGGTTAAGAGCAGTGACCGTCCTTCCAGAGGACTCAGGTTTAATTCCCAGCACCCACATGGCAGCTTACAACTGAATGTAACTCCAATATCCGATGTATCTCCAATAACCCTTACACGTACAAGCAGGCAAAATATCATAAGATAAAATTAAACAAATTAAAAGAAAAAGAAAAACCAAAAAACTTATTTTGAGGTGAAATATATATATCTCAGGTGAACAATGTCTTAACATATATAACATATATACTACACAGAGAGATATATGTGCATGTATTTATTAATGTTCAAGGTGTTCTTTTAAAATAGCCAGGTAAAGTGGCACATGCCTTTAGTCCCAGCACTTGGGAGGCAGAGGCAGGTGGATCTCTAAATCCCAGGCTAGCCCGGTCTACATAGTGAATTCCCAGATAGTCAGAGCTACATAGTGAGACCCTGTGTTGAAACACCAAAAACCAAAACAAACAAATAAACAAACAAAAGGTATATATGAAAGAAGACCTGGTGGAGAAAGAGGTAATAGGAACCATGGGAGAGAACTGTTGTGTTACCTCTGTATCTTTAAAGCATTTAAAACGAAAATATCTATTTATATTACTGGTTTCATCTTGCTTGGGTTTTGCTAGGGTTTTTCTTTGTAGGCCAGGTTGTCTTAAACTCATAGCAATACTCCTGACTGGCCTATCAAGTGCTGGGATCACAATGTGCTTTTTTTTTCCCCTTTTTTGTGACCCATGTGTCCCAGGCTAGCTTATACTTACTGTTTAGCTAATGACCTTGAGCTTCCCATCATGGTCTGCTTCCCAGGAGCTGGGTGCACAGATGCCCCACTACAGGTGGTGCAATGCAGTGTGGGAGACCACAACCAGGCCAGCTGAGCCTTCGGGTTGCTTCTAACCTCAACCAATAAACTTCCCTCAAGCCTAAAGAACGGGACTGTTACTATTTGTCAGGACTTGCATTTCAGCCACTAGCCTTTACCCACCAGGCTATCACGCTCAGCCCTTTTTATTTTTTAATTTCTTTTTTTTTTTTTTTTTTTTGTTTTTTTGGTTTTTCGAGACAGGGTTTCTCTGTGTAGTCCTGGCTGTCCTGGAACTCACTCTGTAGACCAGGCTGGCCTCGAACTCAGAAATCTGCCTGCCTCTGCCTCCCAAATGCTGGGATTAAAGGCATGCGCCACCACTGCCCTTTATTTTTCATTTATGAAAAGGAAGATTATAAATTATGGTAGTTATTTTCACCTGTCAACTCCACTGAGTTAAAGGTACCCAGAGAGCTGATCAAATATTATTTCCAGGTGTGTCTGTGAGGGTGCGTCCTGAAGAGCTAAGTATTTGAATCAGAAGACAGAGTAAAGACTATCCACTCCCACCACTTCGGATGGACACCACTCAGGAGATTGAATATCCAGAGGTACTGAGAAGAGACAAGCTCTCTGTCTCTCTGTCTCTGTCTCTGTCTCTCTCTGTCTCTCTCTGTCTCTGTCTCTCTCTTTCTTCCCTCTCTCCCTCTCTCCTTCTCTCCCTCTCTCCCTCTCTCCCCCTCCCTCCCTCCCTCTCCCTCTCTCTCTCAGAGCTAGACATGCATTCTGCCCATCCTTGGTCATTGGGATGTCTGGCTCTTGAGCTCCAAGTGAATTGTAACAACATCTTAATCTTGCAGCTGTAGCACACAAGCAAGAGAGGCTTCTACCTAGATCATCTCAAGAGCCAGTTCCCATAGTAAATGTCCTTGTTTATACTTATATCCTGTTAGTTCTGCTTCTCTGGAGGCCCCTGAGTAATACCCAGACACAACTGGGTTCTCCCAATTTGTGTTCTAAGAGTTAACTCATGTTGACACTTGTAGCCCTGATTCATGTACTTTAATTGCTGTATTATAATCTGCCTCATTGTTGCAATATAAAAATGCCACAGTGTATCCACGGACATTTTGTTGTTTCTGGCTGTTGCTGTGCTGTTGGTTTTAAGATGTTATGTTCTACTACTGTCAGCTCTTTGTCTTTGTTATTTTTTTTTATTGTTGTTGTTTGTTTCTTTCTTTTTCCCTGATACTGAGGACAGAATATGCCAGGCAAGTATTTGATCACTATGCCCTGAAGTGAATCCTTATGTCTGTTCCCTCAAGTGTGTATTGTGAGGGTGACTCTAGAAATTTAATCCCTGGATTATGATACAAATATCTTCACGTTTCTTATAA